ATTGGCACAGGACAGAGCGGAGTTTAGGGCTGTTGTACATAGGGTCGCTATGAGTCGCAGGCGACTCGACGGCACATAACAACAACAACAACAATGAGAAAATTTACAGAGACTTTGGATTTCCATTCATTCATTGTTGCACTTTTCTTCCTGTCCCCCTCGCCCCCAAGAAGCTCCTTAAAGGCAAGAGTGGGAAAGTTTGTCTCACATACATTGGGCATCTTGTTAGGAGAGGGTATTCCTTGGAAAAAGACCTCATGCTTGGAAGGGTGGGGCGACAGCAAAGGAGAGGAAGACCTTCAACACGATGGAATGACTGTAGCTTGAGTGTGTCAGGCATAAAGAGGATGGTACAGGAGAGAACAGAGTTCAGGTCTGTGGTTTAGAGGGTCACTATGAGTTGTACTAGACTCTGGTACATATCAACAACCAAATGAGAGAGCTCTGGTAGCCTAGGAGATAGGAAGTTACATCCCAACCTAAAGACCATCTTTTCTGCAGGAGAAAGAGGCAATCTCCTCTCATGCGATTTACAGCCTCTGAAAACTAACCAGTCAACTATGTGTAGATTACACCTTGACCCCAAATGAGAGCGAATTAAAAAAAAAAAAGTGATGCAGCAGAAATTATCAAACAATTATTATTACCTGCAAGTGAAATCTTGCTAAGATGATTCAAAAATGGCTAGATCAAGTACATGGACAGGGAACGTTCAGAAATTCAAATGAATAAGGACGGCGGAAGAATGAATACCTTTGAGCTCTAGTGTTGGAGAAGAGCACTGAATATCTCACGGACTGCCAAAAGACCAAACAAATATGTCTTAGAGAAAGTGTAGCCAGCCTGCGTGCTCCTTGGAGGCAAAGACGAGAAAGCTTTGTCTCACATACTTTTTTTTTTTATTTTTGTGTGCGTGTACCATGAAATCAGATCTGACTGGTACAGGAGGAGATTGCCCCTCCTTCCCCAGCAGAGCATCTGGTGGATTAGAACCGTGCACCTCTGGGATTGTTGCAGCTTCTTGCCACTAGGCCACCAGAGCTCCACTATCTCACATACTTTAAGCATGTTGCTAAGAGAAGGATATCATGCTTGGCTGGGGTGGGGGGGAAGACAAGAAGACCCTCAGTGAGATGGATTGACACGGTGTCTGCAGCAATAGGTTCGAGTGTGTCAGAGACTGTGCAGACGGACAGCACAGAATAGGCCAGGGTTCAGGTCTGTTGTTCATAAGGTCACTATGACTCATACACAACTTGATGATAAATAACAATGACAGTCAGCCACCAGGGCTCCGTAAGACCTCCAGGTGATGCTTATTCATAATTATGCTATATTCTATTTACATCATCGTCTGCATTTGAAATATTACATGATCATTTTCAGGAAATTTAGTGGTGCTGAGAAAAAAGAATTGACTGGAACGCATGGATTCGGTTTTGGGGGGAGCTCGCTCGTCTCTGTGATTTTATAGCCTCTGTAAACTCACCAGAGGGTCAACTATGTGTAGATTACACCTTGACCCCAAATTAGAGTTGTTGTTGTTGTTGTTGTTATGTGCCGGCGAGTCGCTTGAGACTCATAGCGACCCTGTGCACAACAGCCCTAAACCCTGCTCTGTCCTGTGCCAATCGCACTGTCTCCGACACTCCCACTCCGATTACCCCAGTCACTGAATCAATCCATCTCATAGAGGGTCTTCCCCTCATGCGCTGTCCCTCCACCCTCCCAAGCATGATGTCCTTCTCCAAGGACCTGTCCCTCCTTACAACATGTCCAAAGAATGTCAGACGGAACCTCAGAATCCTTGCCTCAAGGGAGCCGCCTGGTTTAACCCTCTCCAGGATAAATCTGTTTTCCTAGCAGTCCATGGTACCCTCAATACTCTTCTCCAGCACCAAAAGTGATGAAGCAGAAACTATCAAACAATTATCATGATCATATGCAAGTGAAATCTTGCTGAAGATGATTCAAAAGTGATAGAACAAGTTCCTGGACAGGGAACTTTGAGAAATTCAAATGGATAAGGATGGCAGAAGAAGAATCGATGCCTTTGAGCTGTAGTGTTGGAGAAGAGCACTGAATATCCCACGGACTGCCAAAAGAACAAACAAGTACAAAGACTTGGGGAAACAGGAAGGCCAGGTATTCCAGAGTTGCTACTGCTTCGCCATGTGCCCTCATGTCAGTAATTTCCTTCCCTCTTATCTAAGATTTTCCCTCTTCAAACCCAGGTCTCCTATTCAAAAGGCAAGAATTCCACTCCCTTTTCTTCTCTGTATTGTTATGGACCATTGAGTCAGAACCAACTCTTAGATGACCCTCTAGGGGGTTTTTGGAGGCAGGAAAATCATAGTGACATTGCCCATCTTTCTCCTGGGGAGCAGATGAAGATTTGAACCGAGTACCTTTGGAATGGCAGCACAACTCCTTACCACCAGGCCACCAGAGCTCCCTCTCATCTGTAAAAGCAATTGAAAACACCCATACTTCGCAGGGCTGCTGTAAGGATTCACATCAGACCAGTTATTTATTCAACAAGTTTATTGAGATATCCTGGCAAAAGAGACAAGTGAAACCCAGTCTTCGAGCTCAAGAAACTCGCAAGTGAAGAGATAAAACAGTTACTGCAAACAGGTAACTACAAAAATAACATGATCAGTTTTTCAAAACAGGTAAGGCCATCATTGTGCTGTAGTGTTTAAAAACCTGGACTAGGAAAGTAACCGCTGAGCGAGACAGGGGGTGCAGGAGGCTCCCACCTGGAGATCAGCTGGGGTGAGTCTCCACACGCTCCTGCGGCCGATGCGGCCACCAGGTCATCGGAGGCTCTGGGAGTCACTGCAAGTTGGCCCACTGCAGGGACGTGTACACCACCTTACCATCCGGCTGCGGCGAGCAGAGAAGCATGGTCTTCTTGACGCTGGTGCCCAGGCGGCCAGAAGAGACCAGGTCCTGGATGGGGATGGCGTCATCGCCAGCCCAGCACTGAGCGATGTAGTGGGCATGGAAACGGAGCGGGTCACCTGGGTGAGGGACAGAGACACACCAGCAACCTTAGAGCTCATTTAAAGAAGAAAACAAAAACCAAAATCCAATACCTTCCAGATGATTCCCTGTGGGAGAGCGCACAACGGCCCACAGGACTTTCAAGTCGCGATGTTCAGGTGAGCAGAATGCCACAGCTTTCTCCCACGTGACACCTGCTGGGCCTGGACCACCAACATTCTGTTTAGTACTTCAGCCAGGGCTCCACCAAAGGGCCCCGGAAGGATTTCTACAAGTCACGTCCAGCAGCTGAGGTCGAAGACGTTGAAGAAGCCAGCAATTGTACACTGCAAATCATTCTGAAGGCCGCTCTTATTTTAAAACAGATTTTCATTGAATGATAAATTCTTCCACCCGAATCACGGTAAAATAAGCAAATAAATGGCAACTTTAAAAACACAAAAGGGATTCCTGGCTCCAGCAATTGCACTTGTGAGGGTAAGAAATCATTAGTAACACAGTTGGGGGCGGGAGATCTAAAAAGTGATTGTATGCAATGCACTCCCTGCAGCTCCGAGAATCAAATGCAGGTAAGTTCGTGCGATACCAGGGCCAGATCCTACTCTCCGTGATGCCCTCTAAGTTTTTGACGGCTGTGGCCTTTGGGAGCAGACCGCCAGACCTGTCTTCTGAGGGGCCTCTGCGTGGGTTTGAACTGCCAACCTTTCTACCAGTTAGTTGTAGGCTTAAACATCTGCACTGCCCCTGAAGAATTCTTAAGAGGCACAAAGCCACAACTGAGCCCTTTCTGACTCGGAGAGAAGCCACAGGATACCGTAGACTTGCCATACGATGTCCAGGGTTGTTTGTGGAAGCAAACTGGCACATCCTTCCCCTTTAGAGTGGCGGCTGGTCTGGAGTCACCAAAGTCAGGAAAAGTACTTCCAAGGCTCCTTGGAAGATTACCATAGG